GTTTTTCCCCCATTTTGTGGTTTTTTTTTTTCTTTTTTTTTTTTTTTTTTTCACTCTACAGCATGTATGCTCACCAGAGAGAGACTGGGGTTGGGGGAGAATTGTCCCCCAGAGGGAATGATCATGCAGCAATCCCTTCCCCTCCATTCTATTGAAATTTTGGGCATGCTTATACACATGTGATGTGTTTCACAAGCTGCCGAATCTTAGACTTGAATCATACAGTTGGCCATGTAGCATCCAGCCACTTAATCTCCATTCTTGTACTGGCCTCTCTTTTTACTTTCTTTTAAAATTTTAGCTTTTTAACTGTGTGGGATACCCACAATTGGAAACAATAAAATTCTTATCTTTTTTTTAGTTTTTTGCCATAGGGTATGTGTGCTTGCCGAAGAGTCAGAGAAAGACAGTGAGACCGTGAGAAAGTGAGAAAACACACACACCGGGGAGGACGACTATGTTGTAATCCCTTCTCTTTCATTCTCTTCTTGTGATTTTGGGCATGTATGCACATGAACCTAGTGTGATTTTTTGTTTATTTTTTATTTTATTCTTTTTTTGCTATAGGGCATGTGCACTCACCAGAAAGACAGAGAGAGACAGAGAGATAGAAAGTGAGAAATCACCCCCCAGGGGGAGATGGCCACGCCACAATCTCTCCTCCTCCATTCTCCTCTCGGGTTCTTGGGCACACACGCACCCTGCGTAAGTTAAAGCCACCGGGTCCGGAACTCGAACCGCGGTTGGCTATATGGCATTCAGTGACATAGCCATTACGCTAACTGTTGGTCCCCCTAGTGTGATTTTTAAGCCACCAGGTCTGGGACTCAAACCATGGTCAGCCATGTGGGAGACCAGCACCCTTAACCACCATACCACCTGCTGGCCCCCACTAATGTTTTTTTAATGTCCTACAAACAAAAAACTTATGTGCTTTATTAAGTAGTATTTTAAAAAGTGACTTGTTGAAAAATTGAAAGAAAAATTTGAGTTGTGAGACTTGAGTATGCATCACACAAAAATATCAGTTTTCATATAAATTTTATTCATTTTTTATTCTTTTAAGAATTATTTAATTTTTTTATTATTAATTAATTAATTTATTTTTAATTTGCTATGGCGCTCATATATTCACCAGAGAGAGAGAGAGAGAAAGAGAAATTAAGACACCAGGTTTGAGACTCAAACCATGGCTGGCCATGTGGGAGTCCAGTGTCTTAACCAACATGCTACCTGCTGGCCCCAATAAGGTAAATTTTAATATGTGAACAATGGTCTTGACTTTTGTTAAAGCTTACTGACTTGGATTTCCATAATTTCCAATTCTTTAAGCCTTTGATTATTAAAATAACAGGTATCAAAATTATTAGAATTTGTTTTTTTCCCATAAGTATACTTTTTCCTTCCTGGAATTGCAGATGATAGAATTAAGAAACTACTGCCTAAGGGCCAGCCCTGTAGTGTAATAGTTATGCCCTGTGGCAAGGTTTGAATCCTGTTCCAGGCTGCTTGAAAGCTTGAAAACACACCAGGCACATGTACATGCCCAAAATCTTGTTGGGAAGGAGAAGTGGAGGGAAAGACTTGTGGTGTGACCATACCCTATTGGGAAGTACTTTTCCTTTCTCTGGTGAGCACATATGCCCTCTGGCAATTAAAATATTTCTTAAATTCTGAAAAAGGAAAGTACTGCTTAAAATGAGTATCTATCGATTTTTGCTTTTCATTAAGAGATACTATTGAATTATAGAGACTGTGTGAACCAGATTTGAAATATTCAACTAATTCACTCACCTGTTTTAGTTTGGAAAATAATGCTTGCTATAGCTATGGAAATTAATTGAACAGAGAAAGTGGTCTTTAACAAATCAGAACTATTACCTCAAAAGCAATAAATCTAGACTCTTTCACATTTACTCCATTGACTTATATGATTTTGTTTTCTTATAATAAACATAGAACCTACATGTGATATATAGCAGTCATGTTGTTTTATTCTCCACAGGTATGTTTGCAATTCGTGCTGATCATGATTTTGTAGTACAGGAAGACTTCATGAAAGCAGTCAGAAAAGTGGCTGATTCTAAGAAGTTAGAGTCTAAATTGGACTACAAACCTGTGTAATTTAATGTAAGATTTTTGATGGCTGCATGACAGACATTGACTCAATGTAAAAATGAAGTTAAGGAAAATAATGTATGTATTGGCAATAATCTCATTAAAAGTACCTGAATAAAAATATGTATGAGTAACATCATAAAAATTAGTAATTCTGTAATTCAGCTTTTAAGATTGGTACAGAAAAATTTGTATGCTTGTTAATGTTGCATTTATTGCAGCAGAAGTTACAAAAGAAGAGAGTTGAAGCTTTTCATATTTGCTGTGTGAGCATTTTGTAAACATTGAAAATGATTTGAGATAGTAGTACAAGAGAGCATTTCTTATGACTTATTTTATATCATTTGTTTTCCTCATCCTAAAAAAGTTGAATAAAATCTGTTTGATTCAGTTCTCCTAAAATATTCTCATCTTTTCTAAGAGTACATTTACTATAGTCCTTTAGTTTCTTTAGTAAGTAAGCTGTTTGTTTAGTAACCCAGATGAAGTTGTGCTTAGACTATATGTTTTGTAAATTTTATTTAAAAATAATACAGACACTCAGTGGTCATCAGATCATTTTGTTATATATATATAAATATAACATGGATGTGTGTTTATATGTTCCTCCTTCAAGAAAGTATTTACCTACTCTTTACCTACTGTGAGTAGGCTTTTGATAGTTCATTGAAAAAGTACATGCACCATCCATAACTTTGTTTAGATTATGATTAAAAGTAATATTTGCTAAAAATGTGACTTGGTTTTCTTAATTTATGTGAAATGTTACGTTCCTTTTGAGAATGTGAAGGTCTAGATTCTCTTTCCAGAAAAGTTCTCACATATATACACATAAATTTTATATATTCTGTAATTTCAGGAAATTTATTATTTCCCAAGCTCACCGATGGACTCTGTAGGTATCTATGGATATCAGGATGAGAGTATCTGATGTAGGGGATGTTGATGTCAGAAGTGTTCAAAACAAAAGTTCTGTTACCTATACACAATTCTTTCTCAGATGATGTGGCAATAAAAGCTTGAACAAATTCCATAAGGGAAGCATCATTGGGAATTAGTCACCTTACTATTAAAGGTGCTGGGGGGGGGGAAGAAAGGTACTCAAGTTCAGTTCCATAAACCCTAAAGAATCAATGATATATGACCTTAGTTAATTACTCCTTTTTTCAAATTAGTTACTAACAGGGTATTTTGTGCCTTTTATAATTTTAATAGGTGGAGACAGTTTACATAGTAATAAGAAATAGAATATCTAAGCTGGTAATCTAAATTAGGGAAAGTTCTGTGGGTTGTTAGTGCATTTCATACATATGACAATATACAGAGTAATAGAGAGTGTGTGTGTGTGTTTGCTGCAAGGGAGGATTCCAAGACAGCCATATGATCCCTTCACTGTTATTGTAATTAGCATTTACTTAATGATCAACTATCTTGTCTTTTTAGTTTGGTGCTGGCATTTGTAAAAAGATTTATTTATTTATTCATTCATTTATTTTAATATGACTATAGAGAGACACAGTGAGAGAGAGGGAGAGTGGGAAAGCAAGTCACTGGTCCGGGACTCTAACCGTGGTCGGCAATGTGGGAGTGTCCAGCGTCTTGGTCACACCATCTGTTGGTCTCCGGTGCTGGCAGTTCCAAAGAATCCATTTTCTGCACAAATCTTTTTTTTTCCCACCTTTATCAAGTTTGTTCATCTGTTTTAAAACAAAAAGAATAATAGTGCCTCTCTAGGCTCAGGGAAAGAACTGTAGATACATAACCTTTATTCACAAGACAGTATTAACTCACTGAAAACACCTTTTAAACGCTACTGAAAGACGTAGTTCATTAGTATTATGTTGAAGTATTAATAAACTCAGTTAAAGGAAGAAGCCTTACTTTATATACAATTTACTGAGAACAAACTATTAGTTCCGCCTGTCTGTTGCCATTCTTTCTGGGGATTTACTAGGTAATTTAAACTGAGTTGTCATAGTCCCCAGTATTCTAAAAAATCCACCATTTCAATGATTTGCTTTATTACTTGAAGGTAATTGGTTTCATTTTCAGTAAAGCATAACACGACTTTCTCTTTATACATTACTCTTGGTTATAACCTCAGCACACACTGCAGAATTCTGAGAAGGAAGAAACTGGTTTTCCTTCCTGATGCCAGTTTGTGGCGAGTTGGATGTTTTGCCTGTTGGTTCCTACGTAGACAAGGAATTCCCGTCCCGCCCGCAACGGCAGTGCTGGTTCGCCGGGCCCTACCGCTTTTCCCGGGGCAGTCCCTGATTCGCCTCCTCGCACGCTCACTCCGCCCCCCGCAGCCCTGACTCCTCCCTCGCAGCGAGTTCTCCCCAGGTCCCGCCTCCTGCGCCTGCGTTCTCGCGAAGAGGCGGGGCGGCGGCGCGCTGACACCTGGCGGCGGCGGGGGGGCGGGCCGAAGGCGAGCGTGGGCTGGGATTGGCTGGGGGCTGGGACCCTCTGCTCTGCCTGTGTTAGTTGGAAGCCCGCCGTCCGTCCTCCAGTCCTCGCTCCAGCAGCCCTCTGCCTTTCGCCGCCACGCCAGCCGGAGGGTCAGGCCGGCTGGATAACTCGCCTTCCCACCCCACCCACCAGCCCGGCCGGGACCATGGAGGACGTGAAGCTGGAGTTTCCCTCCCTGCCACAGTGCAAAGAGGACGCCGAGGTGAGTCTGGCGGATGACTGCTACGCACAGGCCTCTCCTGTGGCTCCGGCCGAGGGGCGACCCCAGGCCCCAAACGCCGCGGCTTCCACTCGCTAGGAGCCCTGTCGCCTCTTGAGGGCGGCCTGGGACCTCTGAGGCGGAGCCTCCCGCTCTTGGGTGTCTTCCTCTTCCTTTCCTGCGATCCCGGTGGCGGGGCTGGGTCTGGTATATTGAAATATTGAAATTTGGTGAGATGAGGAAATCTCTCTTTCCCCTTAAGCTCGGTGTCTAAGACTTCCTTTTTTATTTCCAAAGCAGTAAGAGGCTAAGGTTGTTTTTAAGTCTCAGCTTTAGGGATGTGTTTGGTGTCAGCGATTCTCTTTGGGGACACAAGGTCCCACATGTGGCACAGGTCCGGGGCCTGAAGTTTGAAAGTGCGCCTTCGAGAAGTTTCCCAAAGTTATTTGTTTTTAGGCAAATCTACGACCAACAGAATAAAATGTCAGCTCATTTAAATCGGAAAATTACGCAGAAATCATGCTCTTTAGGGGAAAGTTAATACCGAGAGTAAAATTTCCTATACTTTGGTCTCTTAATTTCTTTTTTTTCTTTTTTTTGAGAAGTTTTTGCTATAGGGTGGATGCGCTCGCCAGACAGAGACAGAGAGACAGAAAGTGAGAAATCACCCACCCAGGGGGGATGGCCACGCCGCAATCCCTTTTCCTCCTCTCCGGATCTTGGGCATGCACGCACGCACCCGGCGTGAGTTTAAGCCGCCTGGTCTGGGACTCCCACCGCCATGGACTATATGGGAGTCCAGCGATATAGCTATTAACGCCAACTGCTGGTCCCATATCTTTTAATTTCTAATTCACGTTATGTTTTTTTTTTTGGGGGGGGGAAGGTTTTTGTTATAGGGCGTGTGCTATCTCCAGAAAGAGAGAGACAGACAGAAAGTGAGAAATAACCCCCCAGGGGGGAGTGCCACGCCTTAATCCCTTCTCCATTCTCCTCTTGGGATCTTGGGCACGCAGGCACAGGCAACTGGCGTGAGTTTAAGCCACCTCGTCTGGGACTCAAACCATGGTCGATTACATGGGAATCCAGCAACATAGCCATTATGCTAATTCCTGGTCTCAGTGTTTTTTAATCCCTCTCATTTTTTTCTTGCCTACTGTTCATATTAGGAATTGTTTCATCTATTGCCTAGTTTAAAATGTTATAGGGCTGGGTCTTGTAGATGGCCTGGTGGTTAAGGGTGCTAGACTCCCACATGGCTTACTGCGCTTTGAGCCATAGACCTGGAGGCTGACTTTCCCTTTTCTCTCTCTCGCTCTCTGTCTCCCTCTAATCAAATTAAAATAAATAAAGCTGAATAAAATAATTCTAAATAAAATGTTATGGGGTTAGGTTGCAGGCTGATAAATTAGAATGGGGGGTAGATTGGTAATGGAACTAGGACAATTATGCTTCAGTGAGGTCAAGAAAGTTAGATTTCTGGTGTTTTAAATGCCTTAAAACAAACTGGAAAAATAAAGCCTTATTTTTAGGAAACTAGTCAGTTTATTCAGAATACCATTCTATTGGATATTATCTACATTTGATATTCACATTTTTCACTTGGAGAACTCCCTTGTGTTAGCTGTCCTTGAAAATTGGGGAAAAAAAATTTGGGGAGAGGTTTTTTGCTATAGGGCTTGTGAGCTAGCCAGAAGGACAGACAGCAAGAAATCACCCCCCAGGGGCAATGGCCACATCTTAATCCCTTCTCCTCCCTTTTCTTCTTTGGCATGTCCACACACACTCCCCACATGCTCCCATTGTGAGTTTAAGCCACTGAGCCCAGGACTAACTGCGGTCGTCTACATGGGAGTCCAGTGACATAGTCATTATGCCAATTCCCGGTCCCGAGAATTGAAAAAATATTAAGACCAGGCTCTTAAGCAAAAGGGAGGTCGATTTAGGCAGCTTTGAAAAATTTACACTTTTTTCCTTTATCATAAAATAATGTGAATAAGGAGACTGCTTTTATATTCTCAAAAGGATTCAGGAATTTCAGCACTGCAAACAGCTTTAGAAGCAATTTAGA